AGGGCATTCTCGTCATGACAATCTAAACAAATCTTTCGCAATCTGATTTTGTTCCGAAAGGAACATAAGCGGTGGAAACTTCAATTTTTCCAGCTTTGTAGAGAACTAATTCAAAAAAAGCACTACGATTACCTAAACAATAAAGTTCCGGAGTAGCTACATTACTGCAGCTGCTCCAATTATGCGTATGATCTATTGATTTTCTAGATTCTGTGATCATGTTCACATTCTTTAATGGTCTGTTCCGACTCTTCACACCATTCATTATCATCTTCCTGGATCTGCAGCTGCCCAGTTTTGGGCGAAAGATTCAATTCATCGGAGCATTAGGTGCGAGCACCTCTAAACCTTTATTTTTTTGAATTTTCTCAGTTTTTGACTCTCTTTTTTTAATGTGCTACTACTATCTCATATTTGGAACCTCGCTTTCAGTTATCGAAGCAATTTTCTTCGGTATCATTATATTGTTGGTTTCGCTTGGTTACGATTATAATCATACTGGTAAGTTTTCAGATTTCTATACGTTTATCCCTCCACTGATTAATGTGTACGAATCGAGTATTGCTGAAAACTTATCATTCCAACATAGCAGGCATAGAAAGAAATTTGTCCTGAATCCCATTTGGGACCATCTTCCATGAAGGTGGGCTTCTGAAGCAGAAATGGACTCTAGAGTGAAATTATTCCAAAAAAAGCTCAGTCTGAAACTTCGCCATGTCAAAATTAGGTCTTTTCTTCAAAAGGAAAAGGAGCAGCACGGTACGCGCGCGGTCGCGGCGCGCTCGTACGTCTTAATTGGTAGCTGCAGAGTTCCTTCTAGCGTGCCGCTACCACTCAGAAAAATCATAGCAAAACATCGAGGAAAGTTCAGTTATGGTAGTCGCGTAGAGGCCTCTTGTGTACTTCTCCCACTTTTTCCTTGCTTACTCTGAGATTAAGCTGAAGAAATGTTTCCAAAAAGATCTCTTCATGGTATCTACGTTCTTGATGTTTCTGACGATTCTTTCAGCTGTCACAATATTGGTTATCATTACTATTATGATCAATGACTGCGTTTTTTGGATCAATATCGTGCAGATCACCACTCAGCGCTATCCGACAGTGATTCGATCGATTGCCTTTGGATCGCTTCACTCGATCAAGTCAGTCAAGTCCTGGTTTCTAGTTAATCTCCTGGGTTTCCATCAATTTTCAGGCATATCGGATCGATCGTTTGCCTTCTGTTTGTGACACCGTTGTTGACGTCATGGACCGTTGGAGCTTTCGTCATCCCGGAGATTCTGATTGTTGTTACGCTTGTCATTGGGTTCTTCCTTCAACCCGAAACAAAAGGCAAAGCGCTCATGGACCAGATGGTAGAGGCTAATTACGGAAGGCTTGAAAACGAATTACCTAGAGCGCTGATCAGGTGCCCCGTTGCTAGACGAAGCTGGTAGTGGGTGAGATCCCGTGAGTGAGACCTTTTCAGGCTAGCCGCTGGTCACAAGGTAGCACAGATGGAGGCTCGAGAAAAGTACCGTAAGGACTTTGAAGCAGCCCAAGCAGCGAAACGAGCTGGTCAAGACGTTTCCAGCCCATGGGAATACAAGGTAGTCTCTTTTTTCTGGTTTTCTGACTGTACTTATTTTCCTCACTCGAGGGCAATACAATCCGCAAGTGTTGCCGCGCGCGGATGCAGCCAAGCTGTACGCGGACCCTGTACGCGGTCGTACTGCACTTGCAAACCCAGTTTTACAGTCTTATTGTTTTTTTAACACTGGTGAAACATAATAAGGATTTGATTTTCAGGGACCTTCACCGCCGACAAATCCTATTGGACAGGGTGCCGGTTACGAGTACCAAGCGAAATCGGAAGAGGCTCAATTGTAGGTTTTTCGTTAAAAAAAAAAAAAAA